GTGATGGTGATGGGGGTGTGTACTTCTCTGCACCTCCGGAAGTCCACTATCAACTCCTTTGTCTTTGCGACGTTGAGGGTGAGATGGTTGTCTCGACACCAGTGGGTCAGGGCGCTGACCTCCTTCCTGTAGGCCGTCTCATCAGCTTTGGTGAGAAGACCCACCACTGTAGAGTCGTCCGCAAACTTCACAATGATGTTGGAGTTGCTACTCCAGTCTGCATGTGAGTCTATCCTTTGGGAAGATAACGAATCACTGAGTGTGAATGTTTCTGACTGTTAGCTAGAAAGCACTTAGAAATAGTAAAAAGGTGGGCTGCTTGGGTGAACAAGACATGCCTGTAGCTGTTTGAGTGCTCAACCCAACTCAAAGAAGGAAAGCTCTTTATAAGGACCAGTGCAATTACTATTTTCATCATTATGTTGCCTAGCAACACCTACCAATTAGCTAAAGTAACCTATTTTATTTGTGGACCTGTAATGCCTTAAAAAAGCATGTAGCATTTTAATCTTGTGACGATAACATAGATGAGATGAGATGAGATATTTATCCCGAGGGAAATTCTTTTGTCTTACACATGCTCAAAGCAGCAAGTTTTTGATATCTTGTTTACAGTATGGATATAGCGTTATATTACATCATTTGCCACATCAACTTATGAAGTCAAATTTGCTGAAATAACAGTATAAAATTCATGCATTTTTGTCAGGTGCATGTTACTGACAATAATATGTGTGCCAAGTTTCGTTGCAGAAGTCCCGATTGTGTAGAGTACAAAGACAGACTGTATTATAGCAGCTTCGGTGAACATAAAAGTTGCAGTGTCTATCTCTTCTATCACCAGAGATTTTGCAAATGCTTTAAATATGTTTTATGCTCGTTTTAGTTCTTCTGATTTTAGCGAGGATATTTTGGAACTGAGATACTCAGCACTTTATCATTGAACTCAGTGATGTCAAAAAGGCCTTTCATACAGTCAATGTGAACAAGAGCCAGGGTCCTGATAATATTAGTGGCCATCTAATTAAATCTTGTGCTGATGAACTCAGTCCTATATTTCAGGTTATTTTTAATAAATCCTTGCAAACACAACATGTGCCCTCTCTTTGGAAAGAAGCAGTCGTGGCTCCGGTCCCTAAATCTAGTCGTCCAACAATTCTAAACGACTTCAGGCCTGTTGCCCTCACTTCAGTTGTAATGAAAGTCTTTGAAAAAATAATCAGAAATGTGATTATGAAAGAGACTGAACATCAACTGGATCCAATGCAGTTTGCATGTAGGCCCAACAGAGAAGTGGAGGACGCACTTTTGACTTTACTAAATCTGATTCTTAAACATGTAGAGAGTAAAGGGACTTTTGCAAGACTTCTTTTCATTGATTTTTCTTTGGCTTTTAATACAACACAGCCCCATATTTTAATTAAAAGACCTTTAGAACAGTTTGAAATCAGAAAAAACCTGCTGGGCTGGATTTTAGATTTTTTAACTAACAGGTCACAAAGAGTGAGAATAAATGGGATTCTGTCTGACCCAGTGTTCTCCTCCACAGCTTCTCCTCAAGGGTGCGTCTTATCGCCCTTATTATTCATTCTCTATACAAATACGTGTCAGAGCAGATATGAAAACAGGGTCATTATTAAATATGCAGATGACTCTGTTATTGTCAGCTTACTGAAAGAGGGTGAAACTAACCACGGTCCAGTCATTGATGACTTTGTTCAGTGGTGTGAGGAGTCTTATCTCCAGCTGATCATCTAAAACAAAAGATATGGTTGTTGATTTTAAGAAACAACAAAATGGGCACAGAGTCACTTTAATTAAAGGTCAGAAAATAGAGCAAATATCTTGGGACCATAATCAATGAAAAACTGAACTTTGATCAAAATTGCAAATCAGTTTGTAAAAAGGGTCACCAGCACCTTTATTGTCTTAGGAAACTTGCTCATTTCCACATTGACCAAAAAATTTTAACTTTGTTTTATCGTTCTTTTATTGAGTCTGTTTTATCCTTTTGTTTGGTGGCATGGTTTGGTCAGACCTCTGTCACAGAGAAAAACTCTCTAAATCAGATAGTGAGATGGTCCAGTCGTCTGATAGGTGAGCCACAGTCTTGTTTAGCCTCCCTGTACTCTAAGCAGGTACAGAGGATGGCTTTATCAATCCTTAAAAATGGTTCCCATCCTCTAAGGAGTGGATTTCAGCTTCTTCCCTCAGGACGGAGGTTTCTATTTCCGAGATGCAGGACAAAGCGTTATAAAAATAGCTTTGTCCCCGTTGCTGTCACTGAATTAAATAAGAACTGTTTTTGATTTGAAATATTAAAATTACTATATATGTGCCACAGTGAGGTTTATATCTTTACTAGGTATGTGTGTTTTTAAAGGGATGCCAAATGCTGTAAAGCAAATTTACCTTGCCTATGGGTATAAATAAAGTTATCTTGACCTTGACCTTTGCTCTTGCGGTATTCTCGAAAAGATTGCAATTCAGGATCCTTTGACTATGTCTCCTTCAAGTATACTTTAGATTTTAGCAGCAAACTGTTGATAATGTTTTTTTTTTTCCAAACAAAATCAATACATTTCCCGTATATGTGTTTTACAGAGAACCCTGTAAAACACCATCTATTTGTTACAAGCTACTTTGCTGACGCCGAGGCCATATAAACGCCAACCTCATATAACTGGAAGCTGTGCGAGAGCAGTGCAGCTTTCTAGTGCTGGTGGAGTCGAGGTATTATAGCATGTTCTGATAGAAACACAGTAAAAACATTTGAAAAGAGACCAGCAGGGTCACCTGCCACCTTTTTGTTTACATCGGAGACAAATGGTAAAGAGGTTACCTTCTGGGCACAATCACTGGAAGGCTCTCTGCGCTCTCTGAACACCAACTATCCTGTGAGTCATGTGAAGCAATTGCATTTCACGAGGCTCGAGACCCGATGGTGGCTTGAGGTGGTTGTAAGAGCGGGCACAACAAAAGACGTGATTTTGCAGCCGTTTATTGCTTCAAGCCTTCCAATATATGTTCAGTTATAGTTTTAGTTGTGTTTGCAATAATTAAGTGTAACAAAATCCCAGTTTCATCATATCAGTCATTCTGCTCATCCTTGGGTATGTTGCTATTCCAGCTACCATACTGCACCCTGGACAGGTCGCCTGTCTGTCGCAGGGCTAACACGCAGAGACAGACAACTCACATTCCCACCTATGGGTTCTTTAAATAAATAAATAAAGGCAGATGAACAACCATTGATACCAGGCAACTATAAAATGTATATCTTGGCCCCAATGAGACTATTAACTCTCGCAGCACCGGGTGTTCGTAATTTTGGTTCAAGTGAATTGATAAACTTTTTGAAGGTAATTGACTCACACAGTTGTGTAGATATCCCCGTCCTGTTGTCTCGGGATGCATCACGCTGCCTTGCCTGGGGTTAGCTTCTGTTTCTGGGGATGAGGGTTGAGTGTGCTCCCTTACCTTCTCAAGCTAAGCTAGGTTAGCCTTCTTGTGTGAGCTTTTCAAGTTCACTTTAAGGTTTGTGGGATTTTTTTCCCTTTAGAAATGTCCCTCATAATTTGTCTGTTTCCACTACAAGACACTTTCTTTATCCAAAACACAGTCATATTCAAAGTAATCCCAAATTAGACTCTGGCTCCCGACTTTTCCTGACATGATTCTGCGCGTGGACGGAGCAGCAACACAGACGACTCGACTAACGTACTGCCACCTGCTGGCATAATGAGACACAGCAAGAAAAAAATCTGTAAACTAAACTTCATTTTCACCCTTGACTATTGTATGACACGCACACATCAATGAAAACTAAACACATTTTTGCTATAAATTCAGTTAATTTTAGTTAGTTTTGTGAACACTCATTATAGTTTTAGTTAGTTTTCACTTCTAGTTTCCGTTATTTCGTTAGTTTTCGTTAACGATAATAACCTTGGTAGTAACAAACAAAAAAGTATCAACAGGAAACCAAGTTGACACCAGTTTCATAAAAAACATCAAAGAGGTGATTTGTCATAAAAATGATTTTATTATCCTAATTTATTATCGGATTACGGATATCAATGTTCCACTGTTTTTTCCCTTTACAATATATTACTATCATTAGACTGTTTTATACATTGTTTTATATATTAATAACTTTCAAATAATTTTGTACATGCTTTTGGGACTGACATTCCCTGGTCAGATGAAGCAGAAAAATGAGACAAAAAGGCACGTGATTGCTCGTGTCCACAGTGAGCAATACAGTCCAAAGAAACAAAGAACCGTCGTGGTTTATGTGAGTGCAGCTGAAATGTCCCCCGGTCTAATGATGGGCAGCCCCTTTGAAGCCTATTACATGTCTTGCCAGGGCAGCACATTAAGTCCAAAGCAATTTTCCATACCACAGCCCAAAATAATCACTTTCATGTGGCAACTGACAGCAATTATATCTTCTGATTTGCTCCGATTCACTCAGGAAAAAAATAAAATCACACACCCACCCACGCTTTCTCATCTCCAAAGAGCTGATACTTTTACAGTAGAAACAATATAATTACTAGAACGTTGAACCACCTTCAGGGGCTGCACTCAGATGACTCTATACATGTACAACTGTAGCTGAATATCAGATGTGGGCCATTTCAAACGGTGCAGCCTGCCATAAGGTCTGGTATGAATGTGCAGCTCAGTGGAACACACGGATTGAACATATTCTTCTTTAAAACTCAGTATTGGAAAGCTCTGTGGCCTGAGGGAGACCCAGTGTACTGTGTAGTCCGTGGTGTGAAATACCACACACCAGCACCACCGGCGCTCTGCTCGCTCTGAACTGTCCACAGTTTAAGATCTAACTGTGACTTGAAACGCTGCCCAAACTGTCTCAGAGGTCTTTCTCTGGTTTCAGTGCCTGGGATGCTTAATCCAGTTTCGTATCATCCACTTCTGACCAGAGCATCTCTGGACCACAAGGCGAAGGCCGAAGTTGGCGTCTTTGGACATTTCTACCTCCAAGCATCGGCCACTGTCTCTGCTGATGATCGGCCCATTCTGCAGTGAAAACACAGACAAAAATAACGGCAAATTGTCAAAGTGCTTTTAAGGAAAAAACAGACAATCAGCACTTTTAAATCCGTTTGCAGGTTTTCTTCTTACCTGTGTAAAGTCCCAAAGCCTCTGGGAAATCCTCGACACGGCATCGCATTTTTTCAGACTGGGAGTGCGTCCTCTGCCATCATCGATGAGGCATTTTGTATCAGGCAGGAAGGTGGTGGACCCCAGGGGACCAAGCTGGAGAAGCCCCTCCGTAGAGTAGCGAGCCAGCTGCAAGCCAAAGGGAATCAAATGTGTTACACTACCTAAACTAAAGAGCACAGTGGAAAACACAGCTTTATAAAAAGCAAACACTTGACTTTTTAGAGGGCATCGGTGGAACGCGCAAGATGGAAATGTGCTTCATTGGATGTGATTGAATGTGATTTGCAGTAATGTGCTTTACCTATTCTGCTCTACAAAAGCAGACAGGCAGAAATTACAGAAGCAGAAAGGAGAAAATGGGTTTAAGGTTTGATTGGCACATTGTGTTTTTCCTTCACTGTTATCTGAGTCATCTGCACCGGTTCTGTCTGGAGCATATGTTTGAAACCCGTAGCCTAATGTTTGGGGCACATAACACCACATACCTCCACGAGTGCATCTTTCCCACTTTATCATCCTGATTAATTACAAAGTGCCCTGAATACATACATACAGCAACTTTAGGATAATTTTCTCTAAATTGGAAGGCGACACGTACTGCCTCTCAGCTTTCTTTGTAAGTAATTTACAGCCTGTCTTGTATGTAATTAATGTACAAATTAAAAAATAAATCCCACATTGATATGTTGAGAGAGAGCATGTTG